GCATGGTCTAGAAGGATAAAGTTTCCAACTTTATCCATTAAGAGTTAAGACCATCCAAAAGGTCAAAATCTCAAACCCTAGGTTCCAAAAAGGCTAAACAAGACACGGAACCAACCATTAAGCACTTATTCCAAAAAGTCCTTAGCCCATTAACTCCAGAAGGATTTCTAACACCAAAACTAACATAAAAGTTAGTGCTTTATAGACATGCATGACCAATGCATGTCTTGAAGCCATAATGAGTCAGAATAAGGGTTTTTGATAAAACTCTCATGCATGGCTCAAAAACTCAACTATACTTCAGATCCAAACCACCAATCACACCAAATGTCCTAAAGATTCGTAAAGTTGAAAATTTTATGAGATATCGCCATTCCAACTAGCAAGAACTTGAAGATTAAGGGACAAAACTCAAGATCTAGCAACCTAACATGATAAAGATCGAGTCTTAGACACTTACAAAGGTCCCGAAGAGTGCTAGGGCGAAGAATGGAGACTTGATTGCTGAATCTTAGTTCACTTCTTCTTCCTTCTTCCTTCAAGAACATCCAAGAACACCAAAAAGGGCTTCAGAATAGAGGAAAGTGATTAGGGTTTCTTAAGAGCATTAGGAGGCTTATGGAGGTTGAGGATGAACAAACCCTATCCTCCTCATTCTTTTAAATACAGAGCAAACCCAGAAAAATATGGTTTTCCATCAGACAGCTGCTACGTCATGGCCATATACTGCCATGTTGTGGCGGCTTAAATGAAACACGCGTTCCAATCTTGCCTCTCCATGTCGTCGTGGTGCCTCCACCACGTCGTGGCAACCCTAAAATGCCAAAACAATTAAAACATAAAGTACCTCAAGATCCGGGCGTTACAACTCTCCACCACTTGAATCAAACTTTGTCATCGAAGTCTGTCACCACAAATAACTCGGGGTAATGCTCTCTTATATTGTCCTCAAGCTCCTAAGACCACTAAGAACCCTTCCGGTGCTGCCACTGCACATCCACCAGGTTCACTACTTTGTTGCGCAGAGTCTTTGTCTTTCTGTCTAGAATCGTAATCGGTCTCTCTACTAGAATCGCAGAGTCATTTTCTTTGTTGCGCAGAGTCTTGCCACTACATACCCAAGGTGAGTTTGTTTGTGTTCTTTCTCTTTTATTTTGTGATTATGTGATTATTTATACAATGAGGAAATTGTATAACTTAAGTGTAGGGTATAGGGATTGGAAAAAGATTATACATGCTAGATGATATTTTGGCCGAAATTAAACGAACTTAAGGTTTTAGCAAACAACATGATCAACTGATTTATTAGTGTTTTGTAGAGTAATTTGAAATGAATCCTAAAGTTTTATTTATTTGATATGTTATAGTATATTTGTAGCTTTCTAACTTTAGTGAAATCACGAGACAAGAATGTAAACTTTTGTAGTTTAAGGGACACAAAAAGTTTTGCATTGTTTATAGAAATAAACCCTTGAAATTTTACATTAGTCATTAAATATTAGAGTATATCCTTAGCCAATAATGGTTGAAGTTAAGTTTCCATGCATTTATTTACTTCTCTATTCTATTATTTTTACTTAAACATAGGTTAAGAGTGGAATCAATCCGTGGCCTTTGAAAAATAAGGCTTTAGCCAAAAATTTGCAATAATTTGCAAAGATGAGAGTTTTTAGGATTTTATGTTTTCTTTGTTATTTTTTTTTAAATTGAATTTAGGATTTTGGAAACTTCGCTAAAATATTTTAACATTAGGGAATTTTTAAAGGGTATATTCGAATGAATGCATAAATAAGTGCTATTCAAATATAAGTGGTAAGCATTTTTGAGGATTGTTAATACTTAAAACTTGGAAATTAGTTAGGATTTAGACACAATTATATGCATTGATGCAATGTATAATTGATGGGTTTGAATTGGATTGTCTTTAGTGATGTTGGTAAACAAAGTATTGGTGCTATGATATCGAAATAGAATTGTAATTATGACCTAGATAACTCTAGTTATCTTGAGGACAAACAAAGAATAAGTGTGGGGTATTTTGATATGACCTTATTTAACTATATGTTTTAGCATATTATCTTAATATATTTGGAATTAATTGCTATATTTGAAGACACATGATGCTTAATATGTTTTGAATTGATTGATTATAGGTAAACTTCGTAGATAATGATAAAAGGAAATGATTAGGACAAAAATGGAGCTGATAAGGACGAAATTTGAAAACCTGCCAAAAATATGATAATCGAGACGTGATAATAAACCATTTGCGTCACATGATCGACGTTTTCCCAATCCTATAAATACACGATTTTTTCAACCCTAATTTCGTATGCAACCAAGGTGCAGACTTGGGAACCTTTTCCAAGGAGTAGAAGGTCGTCCAAAAACCCTTTTGGGTTGATTTCAAATAGAGATGTCAAAAACCCCCGTGGGACCCCGATACCGTTCGAGACTAATTTTTTAAAAAATTTGGGAGCGGGAGCTGGGGCTGGATTAAACCCCGTTTATTTTCAGGATCAGGGCCGGGAGTGGTCATTTCTGTCTCGTACTCCCACGGGGCCCCGTTTTTTATATTGATATAAAAAATATATATATTTAATATATAATATATGTTTAATATAAATATATATATATATATATATATATATATATATATATATATATATATATATATATATATATAGAAAATAGATTATCTAATTTTAGGGTTTCCTACTTTTCTTCCTCAATCTCACTTCACACATACGACTTCAACCTTCACGTCGACTTCTCCGTTCTATCATAGTCCCACCCAACTGACCCAAGATGCCAAGACCCAACTTCGACCATTCTCGTCATTAGCTTCGTCAACGACGCAATCACCGGCCACCGGTTACCTTCAGCCTGTCGACGCTCTTATGCAGTCTTCAAGACCTTGTTGTCGCTGAATATCAACTCGACAGTCGACTGTGTGTTCGACTTCGTGTATACTCGACAGTTGACTTCGTGACTTCACATCCCCTATTTTAAAATTGAACGGAGACTCCCTGGTAAGTGGTAATTTAGCCTATATTTTCCTCTCTGAAGTTTTTAGTAATTTATCCTATGTGTATTCAATTAATTATGAATTTATGATACTAATGAGAGTTTGAGACTATGGTTATTACGATTTATGATATCTTAATTGATAATTTGATACTTTAAGGACTATGATTTTTGATATTTGTGATGTTGCTCTGTAATTTATGATAATTTTATGATATCTATGATGTTGTTGTGATTTATGAAATTTGTCATCTGTGCAATTTGTTGAATCTGATGTTGCTCTTAAAATGTTGATTACTCTGATGTTGCTATGAAAATGTTATTCTGAAAATGTTGTTGAATCTGATGTTGTTCTGAAAATGTTGTTAAATCTGGTTTTTGTAATCTGAAAATGTTCCTGAATCTGGTTTTTGTAATATGTTATTCTATTAGTTATACTGATTTCTATTTTTGTGTGAACCATTTTCAGATGTTTGTAATCATGTCTTCAGCAAATCCAAATCAACCCACTGATTCAAGCACGGTTAATGATACCGTCGATTCTGCAGTTGACTGTAATGAGAAACAAATGAAATTTAAATCTCCAACATGACATCATTTCACCCATGAAGATGTTAATGAAACCAAAATGGCTGTTTGTAAGTATTGTAGAAAGTTTATTGCTTATATTTGTAATTTTAGATTTGTTGTATTTTATATTTGCAAGTTTGTTGGATTTGTCGTTTTGTAATGTTGGATTTTCTATTTTTTTAGTTGCTAAAAAACTAGATTTTAAGCTTTTAAACTTATGTAAAATAGTTTTTTTAGCCTAAAATATAGTAGTTTTTTTTAGCAAAAAGTCAATTTTAAGTCTAAAAAATGGGGGAACGGGGGCGGGATCGGGGGTGATGAATGTATCCGGGGGCGGGATCATGAGCTATATAAACAGGGGATTCAGGGGCAGGGGCGGGGGTGTGGGCAACTATTTTCGTTCCCGTTTGGTCCCGTTGACATCCCTAATTTCAAAGCTGGAGAAGTATTTTGGAGCGAAGATTTGAAGAATCAAAAGCTAAAGCATTAGAAGTACAAATCAGTTTGCTTTATGATTGTGTTTAGCAATTCATTTTTGTTGTTTTGACGTTTTTATTTACTGATCATGAGGTAATACCCTTTACTTCCGCTTAGATGTAGAAGAAACCTTAATACTTTGGTTTGATTTGTTAGTTGGATTTATAAAGTTTCATTATTTATTATGTTTGTTTGATCGCTTACCTTATGTGCTAAATTTTTTATTTTTATTGCCTACAACTGAATTATATAGTCTAGAGGATCAATCTAATTATATTATTATATTAACTTGTATCTTAATTATTTTATGACAATAATCTGCTAAGACTAGAGATGGACTACTAAAGTTAGATTATATAATTATGAATTTAAATGTGTAAGAGACCATTAGATGGCTAAGGTATCCTTCAATTGATTTTCAAGACTAATGAAATTAAATCATTAGAATCAAGTCTTTCATAATTCGAATATTTAACTGAATATTTAGTTAGCTAATTGCATGATCAATCTGTTAATTGTTTTATAATTAGTTAAACGAACAAAGATAGGAGATTTAAAATCTAAATGAATGTACTTTATCTTCTTTGTCTCTGAATTGATTTCCAATTTTGTTAGGTGCGTCATATGATTTTGAATAACTATCGTTGCGACAAATTAACAAAAATCATTATAAGTTATAAAATTAAGTTATAAGTTATAAGGAACATAGATATCTCACTAGTTAATTAAAAAAATGATTAATAATTTTTTTTATCGAAACATATAATTCTTGAAATAAATAAGTTATTAAACCACTTGTACTCTACAGATTAACTTCAAATTTTTATCACTTAAAAGGCAAAGTTGTAATTAACTCCAACTTCAATGGCATTTGAGTGATGAAATCTTTATATAAACTCTACGCACACCATCACAATACCACGCGCCATAATTCCATTCTACCCTCCTTTTTTTTTTTTCACACGCTACCGCCACCGTAAACCACACGCTTCCCCTCGAACCACCGTAACCGGTGGCAGAAAAAACAATCACCACCATGGCTATGGCTTTCAAGATGGTATGCATCGATAACTCCCTCCTTAACTTTCCAATTACACTTCAATCTATATCTGTTTTTATGATTTTGCAAGTGAAAATGATTTACTAATTGGCGGCGGAGTTATGGTGGTTGCAGGCAACTACGGGGATGTGGGTGGCGGATGAGTGTAAGAACTCGTTCATGGAGATGAAATGGAAGAAGGTTCATAGGTATATAGTGTTTAAAATCGACGAGAAATCGAAGCTGGTGACCGTCGACAAAGTTGGTGGCGCCGGAGAAGGATATTCCGATCTGACTGCCTCTCTGCCGGACGACGACTGCCGTTATGCGGTGTTTGATTTCGATTTCGTCACCGTCGACAATTGCCGGAAAAGCAAGATTTTCTTTATTGCATGGTTCGTTGCTCTTCCCTATACTTTACATATATAAAATTATAAATCACTCCTTAAATAACATTACATTTAATTTCATAATTATTGTCTATTAAAATTATTTCTTTTAAAACCACAAATGTAGATTTTAGAAATTAGTAGGCTAGTAGCAACTAATCACTCCTTAATTGAGTTTTTTTATCATACTAAAAAAACATTTTAGTATGTAAATAAAGATTAGACATTTTAAAGTCATGACATTTTTTTGTCGAGTTTTTTAAATAATCATTCTAGAAAAGCTTCAAAAGAAATCTAAACATCATCATATTGTAAGCATAATCGAGCTTAGATTTTTATTTACTCATCAAAATCATGATTATATTAATGTGGTTCATTAAAATGTTATGATTAAGGTTCCCCACAATGATTCTAATATAAATTATTTAACAAAAACTTAATTCAAAATAGTATTTTACCAGGACAATCATCAATTATATTTAGAGAAACTTAATCTTTTGTCATAATAAAGGTATTATTATTATTATTATTAATCATAATAAAGTACTTTTATTTCTTTATGTTGTGTATTGTACTTTTAAATTGAACTTAATTACAACAATGTTGTTCCAATTGCAAACCAATTTTCACTTTGATTAACTAAACATAGTCTACAAATCGGTAGCTTGTTCAATGTATAATGTATTATTTAGAAAAAAAAAACATAAAGAATACAATCTTATATTTAAAAGAAATAAAAATATAATACTACTATATGATAATAATTAAATAATAGTAATAATAATATCATAAGTGAGCGTCTAGATATAGAATATAATAGACCTTTTCTATTTAGTAATCACGAAATTTAATTCTTAGCTGATTAAGTTTATGAACAAATCTTTTTTGTTCTTAATATAAATATATAATGACACTACCCTCTACATCTTTTTCTATTTATGGGTATTCATCAGATATATTTAAAATGATATTTGATAAGGATAACAAAGATTAATGATATAGTACTGTAACCGTTATGATGAGTGGGTGGAAGTAGTACAACTCTTTACTAAAAGACAATAACTTTAGTAAATTTGGTGTCACACATTTGACTTTATATAAAGAGGTGCAAATGTATGGATAGGAAAAAAGACAATTGACTTGATTGCAATGTTGGTATGCTACTCTAATTATTACATATTGGATTATTATTTTTATCACAATTATAATTAATTGGAGTTGATCATGTTAATAGTATACTTTCCATGATTATAAAGTTTCTATGAATGTCTCTATGATTATTTTGATTATAGGGCTCCAAGTGCGTCAAAAATAAGGGCAAAAATGTTGTATGCAACATCTAAGGATGGATTGAGAAGAGTATTAGATGGGATTCACTATGAAGTCCAAGCAACTGATCCAAGTGAGATGGGGTTTGATATCATTCAAGATAGAGCCAAATAGTTTCAAACAAACAAGCATCATATCTCACACCCCACCCCACCCCACCTACCCAACATTATATATAGACTAATAATCACCCGTACTCATATCATCATGTTTTTAGCATCTTTCAAATGGGTAGAAGTCCCTTTTTGGTATCGAGATGATTAAAGGCAAAACAATGAGGTTATAATGACTTTTATTTCATACGGTAAAAGATATAGGTTTCATTGAATCGTGATGATGCAACCTATGTAATTGACTATCTAATGTTTGTTGAAAAAGGTTTTTTTTTTTTTTTTCAAAATGATTATATATTTATCAGGTTTTTGTTTTCTTTTGTATGCTGTACCTTTTGGTAGTAGACTACTTGACTGTGAATGTTTCTAGATGCGTAGAAGAAATCGCCTAATATTAACAAGAATTGTCATACGAATCTTTCAAGTTTCAACATCAATCCTTTCTTTTTTAATCATAGTTTGAACTGGCCAAATGCCCGATTTAAACTAGTTACCAAGCCAAAACATTTAACTTTAATGGGTACTAGACTATTCCATCCGGTAAACTTTCTCACATCACCAACAAAAAAAAAAATCGATAAAATTCCTAGTGGAGGACACTAAAAAACTTCTCACATCCCAAGACCACATATCATTCTCATAATAGAGAACAACCGACTCCATATTATCTTTTAAAATGATCCATTGTTGTTCCTCAAACACCAACCCTGTCCCCCAGGCTTCGACGACAAGAACTCGACCACACGAGAGCCAACTGTATAGCTTTTATCCATCTCCAAGGCATAGATCTAAGAAATCGAGATTTAAAGGGTACTTCTTGCATCCACTTAGCATCCCAAAGGCTAGTATTCGACCTTTTCCAATATTTTTTATACAAAACGAGCCGAGATCCTCACCTCTCGATCTTAGTTGGAAAGAAAACATTAGATATTGAATCAATGACCATTCAAATACTCCGAAGCCACAATATGATTGAATTGACCATTTTCATCGTAAAGTGCTTTAATAATTAAAATTTTACCCATAAAACATTATGATTTTCAAAGAATAACCATTTTCATTTGAGTAAAAGGATTCTACTCAAAGAAAATGAGTTTCCAATTCCCAACCATTTTCACAGCATGTTCACAATATCTAGCCATAACTTTGTTCCATTTCACTCTAGTTAACCTTTTTTTTTGGCAAGATCACCTCCCAAAAAATGGTTTCTATGAGACTATAGCATCTTGATTACCATATTCGGGGCGCAGAAAAATGACAATATAGTAAATCCCAGTACTCCCAAAAACCGACTTAAGGAGGGTAATTCAGATCATGTTGCAGGAAATTTTGCAACATCTCCTTGTAACGTTCTCATGCATCCAGGGGCGGACGCAGGAATACATAGTAGGGGTTGCCAATGTTGAAATAGGTATTGCCGGTGCAGGAAAAATAGGTAAACAAATCGAAAACTTTTCCACTACAGACAGAAAAAATAGGTGTTGCGGTGCCACACCGGGACATCTACTAAAACCGCCCCTGCATGCATCATATAATGTTTTTCATCTCGTTGTTAAAAATTTTGGATTTTTATCTTCATCTTTGCTATCTTGGAAGGTGGGTTGAATTGTTTATAAATCGGCCTTTAACTACGCTCATGTGATGATAGTACGTACCATCCGGTTCAGATTTTAGCTTAACGCTTTTCAACTCCTTAGGTGTTCTCGAAAGCAACCTAAGCATCATAACATCTTTAGTAACACCTGAAATGTTAAAATAGTCATCAATTTCCAACATGTTGATACACATCTTCATCAGCCTTTCCCGTGAATAAAATTTCTCGCAGTAGTTTTAAAATTGCCCCTATATCTCAAAATTTGTTTCAGTTGATATCTCAAGACTGACAAGCCTAGGTGTTGCTCAATCTCTCGCACAACATGCATACTGAAACATCCGCAAAAATACTAACCAAAAATTTCGTTTTCAAAATCATTTAACAACATAAATATCATCGCCATAGTATAAACTCATAAAACATGTATCTCAAAAATCTCATAAGATCTGTCATCATATCACAATCTCATATATAAAATATCAGAGTAAACTCCCAAGCTAAGAAAACTGTGGTGTGTGTCATGCTATCATCCCGATCCCTTTCCCTTGCTAGCTAAAGTACCTGAAACCAAAACTGAAACTGTAAGCACGAAGCTTAGTGAGCTCCCCCAAACTACCACATACCATAGAAATCATGTATAACAAATAACATAACTTTGGGACTACTCCCAACTGCATCGGGACGAATCCCGACATCGGCTTACCCGGCATCGGACTCCTGCCCGACATCAGGCTCACCCCGGTATCCGACCGCATCGGGCATCGGGCTCACCCCGGCATCAGGCTTGCCCCGACATCGGGCTTACCCCGGCACATACACAACATAACATATATCATAAACACATAACATAATCACATGATCTGCATCGGGCTTGCCCCGGCATCGGACCGAAGTCCGGAACATATAATCATAACGTATAAATTACCATACACCGGGCTTGCCCCAGAACATATAATGCATAACATAATAACTGACATACATCGGGCTTGCCCCGACACCAGGCTTACCCCGGAACACATAATCACATAGCATGTTAACTAACATACATCGAGCTTGCCCCAGCATCGGGCTTACCCCGGAACACATAACACATAACACATACACATGCATGAATCACAAAGACATTAAGCATACTAAAGTACTTCTCGGGACCGCCCCGACATCGGACCAAAGTCCGGAAACATATAAATTGCATCAGGCTAATCCCGGCATCGGTCTCACCCCGGCATACTCTACAACTTAAACGGGACGACATTGTGGCCGTAGACCCGTTCCTACTGGAAGGAAACTCACATTGCACTGCTGAAGACCTGCCGATACTCTTCTGGCTGCTAGCTGGTAATCCCCCGGACTGCTGATCCTTCGACTCCCCGAACTATCAATACCCCAAAATAACACTTAGACCACAACAACTTTGGAAGTCAATTCAGGTCAAACTTCGTCAAAGTCAAAGTCAACGGTCAATGGTCAAAGTCAACTCTCTAAGTTGACTCAACTCGCCGAGTGGCTCATTCAACTCGTCGAGTACCAAAACCCAGCACACTGAAATCCTGAACCCACTCGCCGAGTCAGCCCCTGACTCGCCGAGTTCCCTGGCTAAATAGACTCGCGGTTCATCAAATCAACTCGTCGAGTCAACTCGTAGACTCGCCGAGTTCTAGCTTGAACAGAAACGGGACAATACACTTCGACTCGTCGAGTCCCTCCTTGGGCTCGCCGAGTCCCTCGGTCTGAATGGGCCATCTTAACAGTTTAAGCCCCTACACTTCAGATCCAAACTCCAAACTTCACAAACACTCTGGAAATGACTTATTAAGGGTAAAGTTTCCAGCTTTACCCATCCCAAGTCCTTCTTAATGGGTTTAGACAAAACCCTAGCTCATTAAAGACATAACTCCATGATCCAAAACCCTTATTACTCCAAACCAAAACAGGGAAAACAAGATCTAGGCTCTAGATATCCAATAACCACGTAAAGTCCTGGACTTTACTTCCTTGCATGGCCTTTAGGGCTCCAAAAGGCCATGATAATCTATTTAAAGCTTGCATGGGACATCCTAATGGCATAAATCTTGCACCTTTATGCCTTAGCCACACCTAGGGGCTCCAGATCTGAATGGATCTAAGCTTGGGACGTCCTTGTCCCCATAGATCTAGCTTTTGAACCAAAACCCAATCAAAAAGGGACATGAGGAGATCTAAGAGGTTGATGAGCAAGGTCAAGACTTGATTACCAGAAAGTGATGAGATTGAGAAGCTACTTCTGGATCTACAATCCTCTTCTTGATTCCTCCAAGCTTTTCTCCTTCTTCAAGCTTCCAAGTAGACCACACACACTCCAAAAATGGCTCACAATCACAAGAAAGGCACTAGGGTTTCGTTCTGGACTTGAGAGAACATTAAGGAGGCTGAGGGAATAAGAATATGATGCTTAAATAGGGCACCAAGTACCGAAATTAGGGTTTCCCAACCCAGACCAGACTCGCCGAGTCAGTCCCCTGACTCGCCGAGTCGGCCACTTAATCCGCGACACGGAACTCGCTTCTACTCGTCGAGTTCTTCCTTGGACTCGACGAGTTGACTCCTTGACTTAGGGTTTTTCCGTTCCATTCTTGGTCTGCTGGATTAGGGGTGTTACACATACACCTCTAATGATAAACTAGTTAGATCTTTATCCATCTCTTCTTTTCAGATTTCTTCTTTTTTCTTTCTTATTGTCCAATTTATGAAATCCCGGTTCTGGTTCTTCAAACGGTGGAGTCAAAATATGAATATGAGCTCCTGGTCATCAAACATAGAGGAGAAGAAGGTTACTTCACTGTGAAGAGAATATCATCTGAAGAGAATCCTGCATATCCACTTACGAAGGGTCTGAGTAGGGCTAAACACGTTCAGCATTCCAGGAGCATAGATATGAGAGATGATATTAGTTTTAGTAGTTAGATAGTTATTTTGAAACTTGTAACAAAGTAAATGTAATTGACTTTTGGTGATTAAATAATAGAGAATTATTTATAAGTTTGTTTACTACCTTTTGTCAATTGTTTATTCTTGTGTTTCATTTTTTCATGTTTTACTTCCCGAATAAATTCGATTATTCAAAACTCCACAGTCATTCATACTTTTGGAAGTAAGTAGTGAATTAAGACTGTTATGAATTGAATTGTAGATTGTGTAATGAGTTTTAAACATAGCAATAGTATTGCTACAATGTTCATAAGTACTTAGAAATGGAGATTTAAGTATTAGATTAACCCACGCTCAGAGAATTACTTCATGGAATTAATCACAAGTAATTCTGAGACGATAATATCTTATAATTTTGAAACATAGATATATGAGTTATAGTTTACAAGTCAGTTGTGCACTGAAAATAGTAAACGCATTAGTAAATTGATGTTATAAAACATATTGCCATGCATGATTTGGTGAGTAAATGATGCAAACATATAAATCCAAGTTTATTCGTTCCTTTTGCCCTAACAGGAAAAGCGATATCTTTGGGCCCCTCGGTGATTTGGTGTTGACTTATAGTGTCGGGCCAGCCAAAACTAAATTGATGTGTTCAATTAGAAGTTCTATGTCATTACAAAATCAGAAATCAGGAAACAAAGTTGTAACATCCATAGAATTCAAGCCAATTTTCAAACTTTTTAAAACAT